TTATTTTCTGACAGTGGTAGTTCTTTAAAGGTTAGTTGCATGTGAAATTGGAAACCAAATCAATGAACTCTTTATACTCTTGTAAATTAAAATCCACTTCTCTAGCTTGCACTTTGAATGGATCTTTTACCTATGCCTGAATCTTTTTATTGACTTCAGAGAGGAAGGGAGAGGGAGAGAGAGATAGAAACGTCAATGATGAGAGAGAATCATTGATCGGCTGCCTCCTGCATGCCCCCCACTGGTGATAGAGCCCGCAACCTAGGCATGTGCTCTGACTGGGAATTGAACTGTGATTTCCTGGCTCATAGATTGATGCTCAACCACTGAGCCACACTGTCCTGGCCCTATGCATGATTTTTAACATCATGCTTTGGTCATTTAGAAAATGGTAGCTTAATGAGTTATTCATATTTTCCAAACATTGACACACATATTGAAAGGTCACATTTGTTAATGTCACCTTGAAGCTCATCAAAAAATCCTTAAGTATTGGGATAATACCTTTTCAAAATTCTAGTTATGACTTGAAAGCACAAATCTATCAGTGACAACAAATCAGTCGTTGACCTAGGTGTGATAGATTCACTCACTTCCTTTATTTTTAAGAAAATGGTCTGCCATAGACCTAATCACAATATCCACAGTTTGCCAGACATGGTGTGTTTTATTGTTTTGTTTTTTTTTTCAAGAGAAAATGGTGTTTCAAGAAAAACCAGCTGGTTTACCCTGCAAATCAATCATGCTGGTGCTTTTCCTTAAAAGAATTATCATAGCATAGTATGCAGCTGACTTGCTTGATACGCATTTCCCATTTTGACACACAGAATTGTAAAAGTTATTTATATAAGGGTCAAAATTTGATAAAATAATCTATCAAGGATCAAGAACATTCTTAAATAAAAGTGCATTGTTCTTGCTGTGATATATTGAGCTAAAGAGCACAATAACCGCCAGCAGTTTGGGGCCACTGCCTTTAATGATGCTAACGCACCAGAACTTTTACCCACCATTGTTTTTTCACCATCTGGGCAAATGTCAACACAGTGAAGAACGTAAATTATGTCTTAGGCTTATAAAGCACTTCAGACCTTGTGAATTCCATGAAAGGATCCTGCTGGAATAATGTTTCTAAAGCACAATTCTTGTCACGTCACTTCCCTGCTCAAAAGACTCAATTGTTTATCATTGCCCACAGGGAATTTTTAAAGACTGAACTTTTCCACCTAGGATTTAAACTTTACACTATCTGACATTAATTTATCTCTTCGTTCCATATGCTCTTTTATGCAAACTGGCTCTAGCCAGTGGTTCTCAACCTTCCTAATGCCGCGACCCTTTAATACAGTTCCTCATGTTGTGGTGACCCCCAACCATAAAATTATTTTCATTGCTACTTCTTTTTTTTAATATATTTTTTATTGATTTTTTTACAGAGAGGAAGGGAGAGGGATAGAGAGTTAGAAACATCGATGAGAGAGAAACATCAATCAGCTGCCTCCTGCATACCCACCACCGGGGATGTGCCTGCAACCAAGGTACATGCCCTTGACCGGAATCGAACCTGGGACCCTTCAGTCCGCAGACCGACGCTCTATCCACTGAGCCAAACCAGTCAGGGCTTTATTGCTACTTCTTAACTGTAATTTTGCTACTGTAAACAATATGTAATTATATATGTGTTTTCCGATGGTTTAGGCGACCCCTGTGAAAGGATCGTTCGACCCCCAAAGGGGTCGCGACCCACAGGTTGAGAACCGCTGCTCTAGACCAATGAAGTTATTGCTAGGTCTGTTATAAGCCGTGGGAGTTCCCAGTTTCTTTCAGTGGGTGATGCTATTTCCTTTGCCCTCTCACATATTCGATATATGGGTCCTGCCTTTTCTCAAGATGCAACTCAAGTGGATATGATAGATCCCCCTTCTGAAGGCACACACCACTTGGTACTTCTCCCATGTCACTTATTTTCTACCTGGCAACACCACCTCACACTCCCAGATGCCCAGCCGGATGCCTTACATGCAGTCAGTGCTCAATAAATACTTGTTGAAGAAACAAGTGTTGGTTGCATCGAGCTATTCGTTTACAAGTTTCACTGCAGCTGCCAAATGAGATTTCTGGCTGAGGTTAGGGTTAATGTTCCCTGAATAAGGTTCTTTTTGCTGTGAAGCTTATTACAGTACAAGGCAATTCAACTCACAACATTGATCTCCTTAGCCAGTCTGTTCTCCTTAACATTCTCAGACTTGTATAAACGTCTGCCAACCGAAAGTGTAAGGATGCTAAAACACTTTGAACTGTGTAGAAGAGTATTGATTTTTTTAAAGCTTTGTTTGAAGGTTTATTGAAGCAAAAGTCTCATTTAGTTATTTTTCTTGGATATCTAGTAAGTTGCCCAGAATAATGAATTATCCCTTACACATGCCATGGTACTATTTTCCCTCTGATTTCCAACTTAAATATATTATGGACCATAACGAAGAAGCATAGTTTGATTATGACATGCCCATACCTAAGTCATTTCATGTGGATGATTATTTAATACAAGAGCAAGTTAAATGTGCTGCCTATGAATGGCATTGGAGACTAATGCAAGCTTGTTTTTGAAGGAATTTCAGAGGGCGAGTTTCTTCTCACAGAAGCCCCTAAGAAAAGTTTAGAATGTAAAAACAAAATGAGGTTTCAGTTCATTTCTCCATTTATTTGTCTAAATTGGGATACAACTGCCCATATTGTGTCTTTAGAGATTTCAGGTATGGAAGGATAAGGTACATGCCTTATCTAGAAGCAAATAAGAATTGGTGCCTATTTTACTATCTTTCGAACCTTGAGAAATGTGCATCTATTTTCTCTCTATGTAAAATGGTATTTATAATGAATACATCAAAGGACTTACGAGCAAAAGTAAAAGCCTTCTATGATTAGCAATTAAATCATTACTTGAAGGGTTCAATGAAATGTATTCCAGTATGAGTGAGTCCAGCATAAGTCCTTGCTGTGCTACGTCCAGTGGTCGAGAGCATAGTCTTGCAGACTCTGTATCTTCCATATCTGCCTGGAACCAGAATTCAGGTGTACCCCTGCAGTCTGGATGACTTTACAAACTCTACCAAGTAGTGCATGAGGATCCATGACACTGATGGTAGTGCTGCTATTGAGGTGGACAGCAAAATCCAGACAATCTAAGGCAGTGGATCTCGAAAAGTGCTCCCTGTCGTCTGAAGCAGCAGCACCTGGTAACAGGGATGGAAATTCAGTGAGTTCTTAGCCATTTCATTTCGCCCGGGGTCTTGAAGCACTTCCTGAAAACTGATCATGCCTTTGAAATTTACCTGTAAAAAGAAGGATCATTCTATTCCTTTGGCAGATGTGTAAACGAAGACACTGAAAGGCCCAAGAGGCAAGGGAAGGACCAGGAGAGCTGACATCCAACCTCCCTGCCTGGTCCACCGGGTCATAAAAGTGTCTCTCACTTGTGATTCCGTGGAAACGAATCAAGCACGACCTGCTTGGCTGGGGACTGGCAGGTAGGGGTGGTAGGACTTACTCAGGAAGCAGGGAAGTGGCTTTTCTGA